CGGAGGCCGGAGGACGGTGGCCGGAGAGAGGAGAGTTTTAAAATACCAAAAATATCCTTGCATTAAGATTTTAATTTAAAATTACCAAATTTATAAATTTYCTAATTTATCTATTGATTTGTGGTTAATATTGGTTCTCACAGTTACCACAAACAATTCAGTTCTCCCTTGAATAGGCCCCTATATATGTATATGTATATATATATAGAGAGAGAGAAAGAGAGAGAGAGATGAAGATTCAAACGAGAACACCTCAATTAATGTGAAAATACTCTTATCACATGTGATAATACACATGCGGGGACTTGGTGGTGTGTGGACGACGTGGTCTGCGACCTAGATTGCGCCATGTGATATATTATAATATTAATAGCAGTTAAGCTTGTAAGCCGATAACCTTGGTAATTAGCAAAAATTAGAGTAGGGTGTATATCTCTAATTAATGTATATCAATTCCTTGTATGTCGCTCATTATAACTATTTATACGGTTGGAATGAATAAGAAGAGATAACGGTGTGAATTCTAATAAATATTACATCAAAACACTCTTATCACATGTGACAACACACGTGAGGGGGATTGTGATGTATGAGTAACTTGACCCGCAACCTAGGTCGCGTCAAATGACGTCCACATATCTGATTTAGTATCGTATGTGATTGACTTAAGTAAAATATTGTTCTCACGTTTTCTTAAAATGAATGTGTTTTCGTTTGAATCATTCCCCATATATATTAATCTCAAATGTAGTGCTTGAGGATAACATAAAGCATAGGCTTATAGCAATAGCATATAATAGTTGTTTCCATATATAAAGATCTAATAATTAACTTTTAAGCATATTATTAACACATTTTACTGTAACTAGGGGTGTTCATAATTAAGTTAATAGAGAAAATGTGAACTGAACCATATGAAGCGGATACTTGGGTGCTCGAATCGAAACCGAATTGAACCGAATAAGGTGGTCATCTATGGTGAGGTTCACGGTTACCTGAATTTATAAAATATCATTTGTAATATAAAAAAAAATACTATAATAGAATATTTAAATCAATAACTCAACAACTAAATAAAATTAATACAAGCGCTACCAATTAAAATAAGTTTTATTGTTTAAAAATATCAATTCTTAAGAACATCAAAATTTATAAATAATTCCAAATGTAAAATACTCTTTTAACTTTAAGTTAATAAATAAATAATATAAATATTTAATAGTTTATATTATCCGGTTCCAATCGGGTACCCGTGAGTACCTATAATTCAAAACCAACACTGACCCGTCAATACACGGGTTTTTTCGGTTTTTGTTTCTTTTTGGTTATCAATTTTTCTATTTCAAATCAAACAGTTCAACTTTGTGTCTCGGTTCTCTGGTTTTCTTGAATATCTCTAACCGCAACATTTTCAATTCTCTTAGTAAACCAAGACAAACTAATAAAACTTTGGACTTTATGACATCTTTGTCTCTCGACATTTTATCACATGCCAAGACTCTCGATATCTCTCTCGTTTTCCCTCGTCTTTGTGGAGAAAAATATGTTTCGTCCGTGACGTGAGTGCACTATCACCTAACCCACAACACCTCTCCCTTCCCCTATATTTATAATGCATATATATATATATATATATATATATATAGTTTTGGAGTTGTTTAATTACATTTTTACACCTCTGTTATTTTGATAATGAACAGACTAATTTATTTCTACTTAACAGGCTTGCTTATAAACTTTGGGACTTCTATAAATGCTAGTGGACATAAAAAAAGTTCATAACATTTATTTGAAACATGGAAATCAAATTTAAAATTAATGTCATATATCATTCAATGTCGAATCTTTTGATCGATAATATTGACCAAATCACTCATATTTAGTCTTGTCAAAATAGTCCCATCAAATTTTAAATTTTATGTATTGAATATCAATTTCAAACATTGTTTAAATTTCCAAAAAGTTGTAAAAGAGAAAATGTTTTGAATGACATATCTAGTTGTTGCTTCTAGGAATGGCAACAGAGCAGGTTTTGTAATCCTCGTCCCTGACCTCGGTTTTTAGTAACAGTTCCCGTCTCCTGGTAGGTACGGGGATTAACATTCTGTATCTGGTTTATTTTCTGGGTTTGACCAAAAAATATCTGACCCCAGCCCCAATCCCAGTTTAAGTCTACTAGGGATCCCCGGCCCCGGACCCGTTTTAACGAGAAATTCCCGTCCCCGTTTGTGTCAAGTGAACCGGGTTTTCTATCAAGTCGAAACAAATCAATATCCTTAATTGCTTCATGAGGGTATCTATCGTTTGTAATTTTTTGAACGAGTAGCTTTTACTAAATGGCCAAATATCTTTTATCAAAAGGCTTGATCAATTTTATATCACCTAAATAAATCAAATATTTAAAGGCTTAATTTAGGCTAGAATCTAATTAGGAAACTATTAAAAATTGGAATCAAAATTTAATAAAGGAAATAAATCATTAAAAAAAAATAGAGGCTAGAATCGTCAAATTAAGCCCCTCGACTAATCTTGACTTGTTGAAACACCCCTTGTACTTGGCGTCCGTGCATCATATACCTACAAAAAATTAAACTCTTAAATATAATAACATTTATGCATAAACAAAATATTATCATCGATTCATACATGCTCAAGTTCAAGATCTTTGTCATAACTGTTATCGGTTATAACCGTAAAAATTTAACATTATACTTTTAGATACATACATTTAACATTGATCTGGTGATAAAATAGTCAGTATCTACATATATGGGCATTTACCAGTACATGTGTTCAACAAACTTGAAAGGTATTGGAACGGAAAATAATTCATAATGGTAGAACAAGAAACCGCACTTGCTTGAACTGGTTGAATATATGTTATGTTTCTATAGAATCAATTCTATCTCCTAACTGAATATATACTTGAACCTTTTTAATCTGAAAAATATAAAGTTAAAGTGACGTTGCTTACAGTTTCAAAAATAAATGAAGAAACTAGTTTGGTTTTGACTCTGAATTGACTAAACTGATATTCAATTTAAAAAAAGTCTGTAACCAATAACCAATTTGTAAAAAGGAACTAGAACCAAAAACCAAGTAGAATATAACCAGTAACTGATCTGGTTGATTTAGTTCGATCATGGTTTGGGTCTTATTGATTGTTCGTACGAATCGATTTTTTCTTACCAATAGTTAACGGAGCAGATGGGAAATGCTTCATTAAAAGACTAAAATGAGAAAAATATTATTTAGGGGACAAAACATGCATATTAGTTAATTGTATAGGGACTAGTTTTGTAAAATATTCAACTATAATGGCCTCTGACTGTCGTATTTAATCTCAGGGATAACGCCAAAAGACAACCGTAAAACCCTTTCCCTCTTTAATTTTAGTGCAAAAGCTATTCAATTTCTCTTGCAAAAAGTTTCTTTGAAGATTTCGAAACAAAAAGAGCGAATTCTAGTAGCAAATCTCTACATATTCAGGTAATTTGATAGATTTGATGGAAAAGGTTCACTAATTTGATGTGTTTGTCGGTAATTTGTTTGTTGATAGCATGCGAAGAACAACTGTAACACTGTTTGTTGTTATCTAGGCCTTTTCTGGTTATTGATTATATCGAAATTTTGGATATGATCGTCATAGAAGCTTAATTTATGCGCTGTCGGTTGATGCTGTTGTTGTGTTTGTGTTTCTTATTAAAATTATTGCAGTAGGTCGTCAAACCCTAGAATTTGATCTATCAGTGTTGTAAGGGAAGGACAAATATCAGTGCTTCATGTTTCCGGCATAATTTCTATGCACCTATATTCAATTTACATAGTTGTGCTTTGATTGGTTGTTACTTGTTAGTTATACAATTGATTGTCTCGGGCCTCTTGTTTTATTCCTGTAAGAAAAAAGTGCATGTCAGTGAAATTGTTGAAGGTTCTTGCTTGTTTGGCAAATATTTCTTATGGTATAAAAATAGGCGACAATAACTTTTATGTGAGATTGATGTGAAATGTATTAGCTTCTATTACTTCCAATGCCCCAAAAGAAGAGCTACGGTTTTGATATAATCAATCCGTACCTTTTATATGAAAAATTGATGCAGATTTGTTAACAAGTCACCACCAACATTGTCTTATCTGTAGGAACTGAAATAAGATTATTGTAGTTACCAAATATTTTTTAGAAAAAAAAAAATTTACATAAATTTGAAGCTCAAAAGTCGCATATTCAATTTAACATTCAAAGTGTATGACTTTTTGCAAATGGTGGGAGTACTTGAAACATTTGCATAAGAGTTGTCTTTATGATTTGAATGTCAATGTTTAATGACTATCTAAAAATGTAACTGCCTTTAATATTCTTTTCAGTTAAAGCTGTTACCAGTGTCTATTGGCAAAGTTGAGCATCAACCTGCTGTAGTTCTTCTTGAAGAGCTTATTTGATTGCAGTTTTAGAGAAGGATGTCTACCGGAGAGGTCAAAAAGGTTTCACCTCAAGATTTACAACTGGTATGGTTTTGAGCTTGATCTTTGCTTTATAAAATGCTTCTTCTTTTGACTAGTTCTGAATTCAATTTTAAGAAATTGCGGGAATTTCATAATGATCGGAACTGGGAAGGATACAATAGTGATGGGTAAATGTCGAAGGAGAAAATGGAAGTAGAGGATTAGTATTATGCCCAAAGTTAAGATGGATAACTAGTTAAATGGGTTCATCTCCCTACCATTGAGGTTGAAGAACTATAATATAGAGGAGGGACTAGCTATATAGGTGCAGCACTGAATTCTGTTGCATAGTAGATAGATGCAGAATATCCTTTGGTAAGTGACATTCATGCAAAATATGTTGAAAATGCCTCCCAATTCACCCACCAGGCTGAAGACGACTTCCAAAGTCGCTCAACAAGTCGCATCGGACAGGGAAAAAGGGCACATTTGCAGCGATATCATCGTGACTCCTATAGTCGCATACTAAAGTCTCCGTAACATCCTTGTGACTTCTCAAGTAATTACAAAGTCGCATACGGCTGTGAAGCCAAAACCAGGCTAGATGTCGTTCAAAGTTCTAAGTCACCTTGGAGTCTCTTTCAACTGGTGATGGGTTTTTAGTGCCAAATTAGGCACAAATGGTTGTAACCCTAAGCAATACCCCCTTTGTTCATACACACACCATTACTTTCTCTTTCGTTTCAAGTGCATTGGATGCACATTTTGTCTTATAGCAACATTGTTATAAACCTATAGTGGATTCTCTCTACTCCTTCCGCCACTGGTTTTTCCAGTTTTGTGGTTTCCGCTTAAATCTTAGTGTACACTTCTCTCCCTGCTTTATGATGCATTATATATTTTTTGCCATGTTTTGATGTTTGTAGACTATATTAATGTTTATAGCACAACCATTTCGTAATTTGTTGACATATAGGTTTTATGAGCACTAGTTCCAGGAACTAGATTGGTGTTTTGGTTGCATTTGGAGCATTGTTATGAGTTGTGACTTAATTGTGATCGCTAGTGTGCCTGTATTTCATAACAATTGTTGTAATTTAAAACACCACTAGGCACTTGACTTTGCCTTTCCAATTGAAGGTCAAATTAAAGGTCAACTGCCCAGACAACTGAAATACAAATCATCCGATATTGATTTCAATGTGGAAAGGTTTGCTATAATGTGTAAAGGTGAACTAACTAATGCTCAACACATATTCAGTATCAACATTCACAAACACATATAAGTATAACAAAGCAATAAAGAGATTGAGAGACACCAGGACTCTTACGTGGAAAACTCAACGGAGAAAACCACTGGCGAGGGACGTCATGAACTAATCCACTATATCGATTGAAGTGATTACAAGCTTGAAGAATAGCAACAATGTTGAGCTATGGCGAGGCTGGTGTTCGTATATGGAGGTGTATAGAAGACAAACAAAATGACCTAAATCAGGAAATGGAACTCGTATGCTCATACTTTATTTGCTAACGACTTGCCAAGTCGCATACATACTTGCCTGGTTCTGTAGGTTTTGGTCGAAATATGATGAAGTCACATACAAGTCTCAAATATTGTGCCGAGAATTTGTCCCCTGTACATGATAGCATCCAAGCGACATGTGAGAGACATAAAAATCGTATACACCTAGATACACAAGTTTCTTGCAAGTTGCAAACATCTTGCATATTATGTACTGAAAGTTCCATCAGGTTTAACATGACTTCACAAGCTAAGGATTTTAGTCACACTCCAACAAGATGAATGAATTGAATTTGTGGCACAATTCTCATCTTGGTGTTATTAAAGGAAGGAACTATAGGTAATACTAATCGGTGAGGGGTTAGAATGGTTGACCGAATCTACTGACAGTAACATCCATTTCGTTATGTTCAGCACAATTTTTGGATGTGATTATTATGGCAGATGAAATGCTATAACCATCTGCGTTCCTTGGGCGGATAATAATCAAGACTTTTCTTACATTTACATTCTAGAGAAATTCCGAATGAGCTAGAATTGCTATAATGGATGACTTCGAAGTGAAGAAAACATAAGATGGTAAGGAACTAGATCTATACGATTTTGAGAACTCCTGATTTGGGGTGAACTGAAGAAGGGAACCCATTGAATATGAAAGAACATTTGCTTCCCAGCATGGTATAATGTCGAATAAAAGCTGGAAAACTTAGAGGCCATTTGTTTGCTACAAGGGACTAGTGACAAATAGATGAACAGAAAAAAACTAGAAAACTTAGAGACAAAAAAGTAGCTTACATCCATTAATCTTCCCAAAAGATGAATCTAAAACACGTTCCTACCTCTTAGTTAATTAAAGAAGTCCATTTTACCTAAAGACATCTTACCGAAGTGACTGGTACTGGTACATCTATCCCTTCAACACCACCGACAAAAATGTGAAATTTGCAGAGGATATGTGAGGGAGTAAGTTATATTTGACATGTTTCATCGCTTAAGGGTTAACACAAGCCATAAGGTAGAAGTAATTAGTAGCCACTCCTCAACCACCTTCAATTTTGATCACATTAATGACTAGTGGACATAGACGAAATCACATGAGTATGAATACACTACCTTATTTTATGTGACTAGAAGTTAAAGTGAGAATGAAAAGAAAGAACGAACAACATAGAGCAAAGCACATGAGGGAGGCCCTCCAATGCCTTTGCACATAAAACCTTGACACTCCCTTCATGTGTAACCCAAGCCCATAAAGCGGTTGGCAACTCACTCTTTGATTTATCATGAATTGCTATGTGTTGCTGAGGACTATAATGACCAGTAAGTTCCAACCTAAATTATGCCAAATATTCTCTGTATTCTGTGTAGTACATGTTATTTATAAATTATAAGTGTTCTTTTGTTATTATTTCAGTAAATTTACTCATTTGATCGTGTTCCTATTCAGGTACAAAATCTTATAGAAAGGTGTCTTCAGCTTTATATGAGCCAGAAGGAAGTTGTTAGTACACTACTACATCAAGCAAAAATAGAACCTAGTTTTACTGAACTTGGTAAGATACACACGATACTTTATCTTTGTATGTTTTGGCTTTTGAGAGAGCAACATTGAAGTGTGAAAGTTCTAACCATCCTTCTTGTTTCATCGTAGCACAACTATGCATGTTTGTCATATATTGCTATGTGTGTTTTATGTAACACTTGATAGTTGTGTACTCTTTTTTGATTTAGTGTAATGCTTCATTTCAGAAGGAAAATTCGTGATTTTTTATGTTATTAATGTGGGTCTATCCTAGGCAGATTACCTTCTCATTCCAGGTCATGTTAATCTGGCCACCTGTACATCTTTGAGACTTCCAGAAAAGAACCATAAGCTGGAGTGCTATTAACAATTGTTGAGGATGAATTGGATCTTACAATGTTATGTCTTATCTTGGATACTGTGACCTGAGAATAAGGGGAAAAATAGACCAGAGGGACAAAAATATGATCATGGTGCGAGAGATGACTGTATCACTTATATGAGTAAGCAAGATTAACACTCCAATGACCAGATCCTGAACCTTGAGGGTGAGGGTCACCTGCACGAAGGTATGGTAGGTGAAACTCCCAATCTTCCAAAAGGGCGATCTCACTTGATGTGGTGCATTTCTAATGGGTGTGTTGGAGTCTGGAGAAGGTTATTTTAACATTAACCTCCAACATGGGGGTGTGTGCTTAAGAGATCATCAAACAACTTTAAGCTGAGATGAAACATTGGTTGTCAAGGAACCAATATAGGCTAAACTTGCTAGTCCAAACCACCTCTGTCATTCACTGTATGGTCAATTTTTGACTACTAATGGTGGAACTTTGATCCTACAAATTTTGTTTTATCTATGTCAAATTTCAATTAGTGGTCAAAGTTCAAACCAGATTCAGATCTTGAGCCAATGGTCACACCAAGGCTTCAGATTATACCATTGCCTGACTCAATCATTAACCAATGAAGAAAGGGGTGATCCTTCCAAGATCTTTAGGATTACAGAGGAGACCCAAAGGCCAGAGTCACGAACACTTACATTTCCCTGTTAAATTGACCTGTAATCGACGGAAAGAATGTCCACTCATGTCAAACATAGCCCTATAATAAGATTTCCTTGGACCAGGCAGTCCCCGATGACTTTGGAATAGAATTTTATCAGGACATCATTTATCCAACCAAAACATGGATAGCGGAGATATATTAGGACTAGGACCCATAAACATTCTTGAACCGCAAGTCTTATTGGGGGATATACATGGAAAGTTTTAATGATGCTACACATCACCATCATAAATAGAGGTCACAACTTGATTCTCAGGTATTCAAGCTCTCTAGACTCCAGTTCCCTTGTATGTAACAGCCCCAAACTTGGGCATCAAAGCCTCAATCTTTGGGAACCCCCTCTGAGGTAAGTGTTTTTCCATCTGTTTCATGTACCCAAACCACATGCAGGCAGCCTCCAATGATCTTCCAGCACCTTGGGCATTCATGTCATCTGTGATGCATCAGACACTCTGTTGGAAATACTGAACTCCGAGATGCCTTGTATTACATATAGCACCTTCCGCCAATTTTTGATTGTTCATGAACAGCTTATTCATATCTTATAGCCAATGAATAATGTAAAGCACATGCTATCTCAGTAGATAATTCCCAGGAGACTGTTGCGAGATCACTTCTATATGGACTATGGCACAATTTTGTTAAGTAATGTTTGTATCAATCCATAAGTAATTTAAGAAAAATTATGTGACTTCTTTACTCAAATTCATTTATTTTCTGATGCAGTGGCATATAATCTGTTGATTTTATCATCTAACACATTATTATCTTTCAGTTTGGCAGAAGCTTGAAGAAGAAAATCAGGATTTTTTCAAGGCTTATCACCTGAGATTGATATTGAAGGACCAAATAATGAAATTCAATAAATTGCTCCAGACACAGGCTGAGCTGATGCGTCAGATTTCCCCTGCTGCTGGAGCACCTTCAGTTCCTATCTCCAGTGGATCTCATGTTCCGCTATGTAAGAGAGCCATCACTAAACGCAATTGTTGTGCCTAAGATGCTGTGTGCTTTGTTTGCATAAGATATACTTGCTCAGTTCTCTTAATCTATTCAATTTATGCATATCACTTTGGGGCCACACAAAAGTCCAATTGGTAGAGTTTTAATTTGTAGATTTGAAGGATACAATCTGTTGGAGTTTGTTGGTGGTCTATTAGCTAAAGTTTTGAGTTCTTAGGTTTTTAGTTATTGATTAATATCATGTCTTCTCCCATACTAAGGTACTACCTCTCATATATAAAAGTTAGGCAACTGAGAGAAAAACTAGTGATACACACAAGACTTGAAATAGTTATAAATGACTCCCATACAGGAAGGGAAAACCTGCTTTAGATTGGGTGATAGCGCGGTTATGATTATCTTTTCTTGTGCTGTTGGACTCACAACTTCCAAGGTTATTTGTTTGGTGTGGAGAATTAGGATATAGCATAGCACATGACCTCGTGCGAGGGCACTTGTGCTCTCACTACTAATAGTGAAAAATCAACCATGAATATTTGTAATTACAGTCCCAATTGATGATCATATCCTAATTCTATTACAGTCACAAGATGTCAAATCATTTTTGGTTTCTGTTGGAGTAGATAAACTTTGGAGTTCTTCTATGGATTGTCACTGCCTCCAGATCTGTTTGAATTGTTCCCACCTGTTCTTTATACAAATGTTTTCACATGTGAGTTCTGCTGATACCCTCAAAATTCCCACAGCCTAAAGTAGTCTTACCCAAGGCTTTCAAGAGCTACACCATCCAACCAGAATCGTGTTACTGAACCGATTGAAACGAAGAGGAAAGCAAAGGATAATGCCTCTGTGCTCATTGGGATGAAACAACCTAGTTCTTCCTTACCTGGGAAAAATAATTCAACAAGTTCAAGATATTGTGAGGATTCATTGCTAAAGTGGTGTCCAATGCTTTCTGTAGCCACCTCTTGAGATATGCAAGCAGTGCAACTCTTTGGCCTAAAAAAATCTTCCCAAGGTCCTCTTGAGCAAAACTAAATAATGCAGGCACATACATATTTTGAAGCTTGGGCATGGTTAGGTTGCCCAGAGATCATCCATAACCAACTTGTACCCCTGATTATCTTTATACCTTTATGAATGGGGTTGTTTCATCTATAAATGCTCTATGATTGGATGACGATGATAACTTTTATACTCTTGGATGATCAATTTAGATGCATTGTGCATGCTTATTTGAGATCTTTGGGGTTAATAATCTTAATGTGATATCATGCCTATATCCAAAGGCAAAGAAATGGAAGGATGTGTGTGGCTATTGTCTGGATTAATGATTTTAGCATGCCAAGTAACTCAATCTATGGAGAGCAGAATGAGTGAAACTGAATGGAATCAGTATCATTATTTAATACATTGAAGGTTGAACATCATAGCAAGATTCTAGTTAATGTTAATCTTCCTATGCATAATAATCATGTATGTTCTCTCTGGGGAAGTAATTAGGACGATGTTTCATTGACATATGGCATTCTGATGTCTTATGAAAGGAGATGGTGATCTTGTTATCTAAGGCAGTTTGCTTATTAACAATTGCTATCATTTAGGATCATAGCAGGTGCAGATATATGCTGAAAAGGAGGGAGCTATGTGCCTATGTTTGGTATGGAGGGATATAAATAACATACCACATTTGATGGTGAAATCATTTTTAGGATAGGTAGTTGATGGGATATTTCATTATCTGACATTCATTTTCTTTTTTCTTAGAGAGGATCCCAATACAAATTGCCCTCTTTTAAGTTATGGCATATAGGTTTCGAACCAAGAAGAAGAATATACCATTATAGGAAGTTTGACAAGTCTTGATGTGCTCTTTATTTTAATCATATGCTTTACGAGGCAGAGTTCTGTTTACTTTCGTAAACGTTGTGGTGGATGCAGATTACTAGATTATCAATCTCATAGGTGGCTACTTCAAGGTAGTGGTTCTTTTTCTGGTCAAATTTTTCTTGGTGCATTGACTGCATTCTCAAGCCTGAACAATTTGAGAAAGAGAAGACTAATAGCTCAGTTTTCTTTTTGAAGGGAATTCAAGGCTTGTAGGGGGATAAGGTACTATGAATCTGCCCCTCTTATCTTTCTTGTGGGTCCTTTAGGAGGGAAAGAAGTAGGAAACTTGAGCATGTAATTTGTACTGATAAAACAATTTAACTTTCTGGGGCAGAAATCTTTAGCTTTTGTAGAAAATCATGATAAGAGCAGGTTGTATTATCAAATTTGCTTGTGTTCTTTTCATTTTTGTTCACTTTCCTTTTGGCTTTTTGAGTTATATCATTTATTGTATTATCAATTTTTTCTTGGATGTGTGACCATTTTATATGCTAACACAGAAACTCTCTACTCTGAAGAGTTGTTACGTTATATGTTTCTTTCTTTGCTCTTCCTCTTTCTACTCCAGTTTCTTGACCTTCAATGTCTTTTTTTCCGTTTTGGCGGTAAAGTTATTTACTTGTTCTTGTTTATTTTGAGATTCTGATTCAATTGGGAGAGGGATGGAGTGGGATGAGATTCAGATGTTTCACTCTCACACGTAGGAGAGAAGCTCAAGAAAAAGATCTGATTAGCTTTTGAATATATTTTCTTTTATGTGGTGAATAATTTCTTATTCTATTACTCATATAGTAATCTTTGTTTTACAGTGCACCAAAATCCTTCATGCTATTCCCCAGATAATACAGGACAAGCTATGAAGCTAGAGAACATGCACCAATCTACGGTTTCTAAATTGCCTAATGCACTCACTAATGGTGGATCGTCACTTCACCATTGCATGCAATCTGCTGTTGGTTTGTCTAGCATGTCCAGAAGGGAAGATGTTTCACCAAACCTACTGATGGCTCAGAATTCAAATATGGTACTTATGCAAGGAATCAATGGTGACGGGATGATTAAATCAGAATCTGGTTATGCAGATGAACCGGCATTTATGTTCAATGCTGCAAATAATGTTCTAGAAAGGCATCCTGCAATGGCAGATGTGCCTCTTCCTTCCTTTATTGGTGAAGAATCCAATCCAAAACCTGTAAACGAACCAATTGTAGATCCCGATACATCATCATATGGATTTTTAGGCCAGATCCCTAGAAACTTCAGTCTGTCAGATTTGACAGCAGACTTCTCTATTAGTTCAGGTTCTCTCTCTCTCTCCGTCTGATGTGTTTCAAACTTCAAGTAGAGGTTCTACTGTTTGCTACTGTTTCTTGGAAACACCCTCACTATACAACAAAAGAGGGTCATTTAAGAAAATAACCTTATGACAGATTCTTTTTATATGCATGATCTTCCGCTAGATTTAAGAACACTGAGAATGCTTGTTCCTAACACAATAATGCCTCAAAATTTGTCAGAAAGTCATTTATTAAAAAACTAATCTGTCAGAAGGTTATTCTCTCTCTCCAACAAAAAGGAGCTGCATATCATCGTCCTTGATATGACATCTACGTTTTCTTTCAGATATATTAGACAGCTATTCTAAGTCACCCTACCTGGCAACAGATACAGACTTCTTGAATCCTCATGGTAACGGAGATATTCAAGGTATGATTTTTTGGCATTTAACAAAATGTTTATTTAGAATCGTGGAGTGGGTATTGATATCTGTGTCCTGGCCCTGTCAGGAGATGGTAAAAGGTTGGACACTATATCAGAAGGCTTGAGTTATGAAGGGTTTGGCAGTGATTGATTTATTGTTGCTGATGGTACTATTTCCAGCCATTAAACTATCAACTGTATAATTAGAGTGAAATGTGCCATGAGTTCCTCAAGTATTGCCTGTTTTGGCCAAAAGGAACAAAAAATAAGACTGTTCATCTTCTCTAGTTAGCCCAGATCTTTATTTAGAAAATGAGCAAAATGTAGTAGATTAGAAGTTCCAAACAAAGAAAGCTGAAATATTCAAACTTGCACAAGATATATAAAAAAGAAACAAGGAAAAGACGAAAGAATAATATGTACCATTTGCATGCACATAAAAGATATAGATATACCTCCATATGTGTGTGTGTGTGTAGGGCCAGGTTCAAATAAGAACCGAGTAACCAACTATCCATTAGTTATTCATTATGAATATTTTAGTGGTTATTCATGTGAATTACTCATGAAATACTTGGTTTCCAGGTTCTCAATATTTACGCTTCTCATTTGAACTTAGTCCTATATATGTATATGTTTTTCCGTAGAACAGATATATAATTTCACAGTGACACCTCCAACCATACTGCCCCGTAGACCGCCTTCAGCCAACTGTCATAACCTTGAAAATGCAACATGCAGATATTCTTTTTTAACTTTTGACGAGAAGATCTAACACAGTTGGTCTGAGAAACTTTAGGTAACAACCACTAAAGAAATTGTTCCTCAAAAAGTTCTGGTCAAAGAAGGCAATACATTTGGAATTTCTGATTACTTCGTATGCAAAGGAATTACTTGATTTTTCACTGAACAGATCAATCCTCTATCATATATTCTTGAAACTTGTACATCCTCATCGTTCATTACTGCCATATCGAGAACAAATGTTTTTCTATTCTAGTTACTTACAACATTATTACAACTCCCGAAGATCTATAATGTGCAATTTCTCAATTGTACACCTCAACATATGTATAGTTGAAACCATCTGGGATGGTTTCCTCATGAACCTTAGAAAGATTTTTGTTTTGAAGTACATAATATCTATATACGACAAAACTCACACAGTCCTCACATGTGGGACTTGAACCCTTGACCTCCAACGAGGCTGGGATCTACCAGTGACCTGGATGCTACTGAACCATTGATGCTTTGGCGAAAGAGAGATTTTTCGTTGATTCTAGTTTTCCTGCTTGCTGATTAGAATGTTCTTGGTATGCTTTAATTGTACAGCAGGTGAATATTCCGCCCAATCCGACACAAGTTTTTGGTAAATAATTTGATGCAAGCGTGAAGAGGTCCAAACTCTGAGAATACTATGATGATTGGTGTGTCTAGTGAGGTAAAATTGTAGTCATGGTGGTAGGCCTGTGGAGGGTGTTTAGATTTGCAATATTTTGATGTTCCTCTTTGTTGGTTTTATATAGTTCTCATGGTTTGTTTGCTTCTTCTTCCTTTTTTTTAGGATTTTGCTTTTATTTGGTTTGATTTATATAGTTTAGATATCTTATAGTAGGGTTTGAGATTATAATCACTTTTTTCTTCAAATTGCAATCCACTAATAGAGACCAAAAGACGGACTTGAAAATTGTTATTTCCAAGTTACTATTATCCCCGTGGTTTAATATTCATTACTTTTTCGCTTCTCGTTAAATTACAAACCATAATGACGAAAATCATATTTCACTTTTTAATAAGATCTGGTGGGGCAAATGAAAAAAACAAGGGGATGAATGCTTTCTGATCTTTTAATAGAACAAACATGTTTATTACTAGATAACTTCAACTAGAAACAAGGAAAAAAAATCCTAGCCTGCGTTTTAGTTACAGGGGGAGAGATGAGAAAATATTTATAAAAAAATCCTAATCGAACTACGGTAGCACCGGAGGATCCTAAATAGGCCCGGTTTTGAGTGCATTGTCTAAATCGGCAATCAAATCATCCACATCTTCAATCCCGACAGAGATACGAACCAGATCTTCTGTTAGACCTCTAGCCTCACGGACCGCTGCAGGTATGGCTGCGTGTGACATAAAGCTCGGCATGCTTATCAGCGATTTTACGGTCCCTGCCACAAAAGGAAATGTTGGTCAAGACACAAAAACACCCACGAAATGAATAATTTTTTCCTCCATCAATGTAACAAAGTTATACATTTTAACCAGGAATATATTAATCTTGTAACATATGATGACATGGATGCCAAAGTTTTCGAGATTTATTGATTGAAAAAGTATAACGGTCTAAGGAGGTTACCAATAAAAAATATATTGATTGACAACTTGAAATCTACGTCATCAAATGTTAGTTACCATGCCAAAAATTTGTCAAGTGTTGTTATATACATTTTTTAGAAAGAATTAATATGGGGCATCTTAAAAAGCTCTCGGAAATAAGCCTAGATGGGGTAGAAATGTGGGATATACTGAAAATACTAGGATCTGGAAGGAGAAAGAAAAGATTACCAAAACTAACAGTTATGCCGAAGTATTTAGTATTCTCTACTATGTGTTTAGAGAAAGCCAAGGACCCTGTCTCGAAACTCAGAACTGATCCTGCACCCTTGGCCTGCAAAAGGTAAACCATGAACGGATATTGTAACAAGAAATGAAACGTAAGCTCTTTATAAGCTCAAAGTTACCATGGTTTTAAGTTGATTTGGTCAGCATGGTGGAGCTCACACAAATTTACTATTCTATCCGTGTAGACGGGTTGTTACACAGATATGATTACCTGAGAGTAGTGTAAAGTGTGTCCAGGATGGTTAGGAAGACCAGCATAATTGACCTTCTTCACCCTAGGATGAGAGGCCAGAAATTCTGCTATCTTTTGTGCACTCTCCTACATTACAAACAATCAACCGTCAAACACCAATATAACCCACTCGAAAGAAAACTTAGTAGGGTAGATTCGAATGAAACCTGCTGCCTCTCAACCCGCAATGCCATTGTCTTGATACCCCGTAAACAGATCCAACAATCAAAAGGTGCCAGCCCTGCACCTTCTGAATTTTGTAGGAAATACAATTCTTCTCCCAACCTGTTTTAAGTATCAAAAACCCAATGTCTTGAAAAAAGCTCTGCTTGGTTAGCCATAAGCTAGCTTTAAGGACTTTTTTCCAATTATGCCCTTTATAATTTTTCCAATTAACTTTTCAAAACATGTCATTTTAGGTCATTACTCATTTTATATTGTCATCTAGCTTATCAGCTAGTTTTTTCCAAACATTACTAGCTTATCGGTTAGCTTATTAGCCAACAGCTTGCTTATCAGCCTAGGCATTTTGTTAATAACTTCAAGAGCACTCAGTCAAGCCATGTATAGTTGACTTTTGGATAGATCAAAACAACTTATGTAATATTCAAACCTTTCTCCTCTTACGGAAAGCACTCCGGCCATGACGTCACTGTGTCCCGCAACAAATTTTGTAGCTGCGTTCATTACAAAGTCTGAAAGAGCCAACATATATTATTATTAATAGGGAGTAGGGACACATAAAAACCCCACGAAAGATCACGGATACAAACCTGCTCCAAGTTCCAAGGGCTGACACAATACAGGAGACATTAAGCTGTTATCCACCAACAAGAGAGCCCCGTTAGCATGGGCGATCTTTGCTATTTTCTGAAATAGAAAGGCACACACCTTAATCCAATTTGATAAAAGGAGGCTATATGTGATAGAACAAAAATCTCCTGTATCCAAATCACCAATCACGTGAAAACACATCATTATTTTATTTAATTCATCAATAAAGTGATGGCGTATCTTTACATGATTGGTGGACAGGGAGGAGATATGGGATTTGGAGACTGGATGCGATCTTATGATTTCAACACTTACACGAATATCAGAAATTTGTTGTCTTGGATTGGTTGGACTCTCCAACCATACAAGCTTTGTTTGTGGACCAATAGCAGATGCAACCTCATCTAGGTCGGTTGTATTCACACGCCTTCAAATTGAGCAACATATTTCAAAAGTGTGGCTAAATGACAAGAGGTATTTATTTATGTTACAAAAGACAGAGAGAAGTTTTTTACTAACTTGACCACAATTCCTCTATTTGGAATGACTCGTGAAAGCAGTCGATCTGAACCACCATATATGTCTTCTCCGGCAACAATTCCTTCACCTGCAAGTATGATGGCACTAATTACAATTAATGTACCAACAGAATTGTTAAAAGTGGGCAGCAATTTGACAAGGCAAGATCTATGAAGAACCCACATGCAAAATGTTTAGACAAGAACCAATTGCATCATTAGTGGTGGCTTCATGCATCAAATTCTTGAAACCGGAGGTTTTTATCTCCAATTTGGCATTATATTATGGACAGAAAATCTCAAGAGGGAGAATGGCTCATATGGTCATCGGTATCCATATGTAGAGGTGGAAGTCCTTTTGACTAGTGAACTCTTTTGTTATAGGGGCAGGTTTAAATGAGAACAATAAATATTTTGAGAACCAAGAAACCACCTATTTCATTTGGTATTCATGATGAATGTCGTGATAGATATTCATGAGGAATGTCATGAAAGATGTTCATGATTATTCAGGGATATTCATCATGAATACTACATGAAATAGTTCTCAAAATATATATGGTTCTCATTTGAACTTGCTTCTATATACAAACACACACACACACACACATATATATATATATATATATGCATTCCTTGAACTTGTAAATCCTAATCTGAAAAATCAACAAGAGTGACTAGCTAGGGCTGCGGATCTAGGTCAATTCTTGACCAAACCACATAAATATCTGTATTTGATTGTGCACGTGTGAATCTCGTTTGTTCGTTTCCTAATAGGGCAACCCACCAAAGGGACCCAACCCCTGGATACTTTGTTGAGGGCCTTAGTATGTGTAAATATTTCACTCATTTCCTAATAGGGCATCCCACCAAAGGGACCCAACCCTTGGATACTTTGTTGAGGATCTTAGCATGTGTAAATCTTTCACAACCCTCAAATTTTCAGCATTTATAGTATCAATCTGCTGCATGCATCTGTGAAATGAAATCGGTTATATTTACCAGGTTTAACGAGATGAGTGACGGCAGACAAGGCAGCCATTCCACTGGTAAAGCAATATGCTTGATCTGCTTTATCAAGCTTCGCCATCAGACTGACCAACCACATGCAAAAGATAATATCAATATAGTGAGAACCAACAATAACACATAGCGTTATCATCAGAAGTCATACCTTTCAAGCACATCACGTGTAGGATTGCCACTCCTAGTGTAATCATAGGGGCCAGATTCAGTTGCTGAAGGCTGAAAAGCACATTTACAGAAATTGGTCAACTATATAATCCTATTTTTCCTCCAGAAATCTTTAGAGTTAACACAGCATTCCATTTCAACCAAGTGACCCACACCCAAGTTCCATAGCTTTAAGTCCCCTTAACCTAAGTCTATATATATAGGGGCCGCTTCAAATAAGGCTAAATATCATAAGAAGGTAAGAAAGGAAGGATCATATGTGAATCCATTACAAAAATCAGAAAAAATCTATTTGAAGATGCATATGTGAAACCAATGTTATAGGCTATTCATATGGGTTCACATATGCATTTTCAAATGGATTTCTTTAATGATTCACATAAGAACCTTCCCTTAACCTTCTCACTATATCCAGTCTTCTTATTTGAACCTCCCACTATGTGTGTGTGTGTATATATATATATATGTAACCATCCACAGAGTAAAAGTTGTAAAACTTAGTGGTGACGACCAGAATTCGAAGTGATGGGACTCCTTGTCTTATAGTCATATTGTTCATGATTGTAAAAATTTACCTGCTTGAATGTAGCTGTTTGATATAGTGGTGTGCTCATTGCATTATAGGGATCAAACTTGCTCTCAAAATTCATGAGTACGGTTGATACACTGGGCTCCTTTATGTCTGTCTCCACAGTTGAATACGTCTCTGCCATTAAATCAACCATATTAACACATACAAATCCAAATGAAACATTTTATATCTTAACTTAACAAATTACAAAAACCAACCATCAGAGTATTCCGCAATCCTGTCAGCTACAGCTGAAGCCCTCACATCCATCTTGCAGTCTCTTGAACAGCCTAACCACAAGTTCTTACATGACAATGCTGAACTGCGAGTGCTTGCTGAACTAGATTTACACCAGGAACTAACAACCCCCTAAAATAGCAAATTTGAAATATAAACACATATGAATGTGAAAATTAAATCATATGAATAGAAATTACATGGTAGTTGATGACTTGATTCACGCTTGGTTATACAAAATCCTCATTTTTTTAACTCTCTTACTCCTTTCAGTTTTCTCACATTCTCTTAATTAAAAACATACATATAAATATGAAAACCAAAAGAAAACTGAAGAACATGAATAGAAATTATATACGCCATTGATGTACAGTCGTAAAACAACTAAACCCTAAATTTGTTTCATTAACTTATAAAAATCAAAGAGAACAAATACTTGAAATGAAAATCAAAAGAAAACAAAACAATATGAACAGAAATGACACGATCATTGATTCACACTCGTAAATTAACAAAACCCACAATCAAAACCTCTTGTTTTCCCTTTAAATTTGGTCCATTCGCTTAGAAAATCAAAGGGTAAAATGTCTGTATAATGAATAACTTACAGAGCGGTTGTTAAGTTCAAGTGGTGCAACTGCAAACATCGACAATCCGAGTGAAGAGAAAGCCATTGTTGTATCTGGATATTGCTGCCGAATTCAAGGGTTTTGGATGCTGCCATTATATAGAGACGGTGATTACAGAGAGATGGAGGATTTTGGGGGCCGAATTAAACTGCTTCAGTTGTGGAACAAATATGGACTCTTTCATCCGATAATCATGGTTCCACCGGAGAATTCTGCAAATGTTGACCCCCCTCAAGTTTTGGATATTGTCAATTTAGATCCTTTAACTTAAAATCTACAATTATTCGAGCTCCGCTTGAAAAAATTATACCAGACTTGAGCTCGAATAACTTTTTCACTATAGGGTTCGACCTCGAATATTTTTTGAGTTATCGAGCTTGAGCTTGATGCTCGTTTACGGGCTTGTACACGCAATCGAGTGCTCGTTTATTGCTCGAGGTTTATAATTTATATATTTTTGTTGTATTATTTATTAACATATGAGCATGTTTTGGCTCAAAAAACTGTATGCTCGAATAGTTCATTTTGACTCGACTCGCAAAACTAATCGAGTTCCGGATGAGCCGAGTCGGACATTAGTTATATGAAGCTCGACTCCTTAAGTTAAACGAATTCTGTTTTGTATGCAAGATCGACTCGAGCTCGAATATCTCGTTAAAATCTCGACTAGTTTACACCCTAAATATACATGGTTAAAAGTGCATTAAAATGAATCAACGTTTACTTCTTTTTACGATAATCGTTTAAATCTTTATTTTGAAACCAACTTTTAAGATTTCTCCTTTGGAAACTAATATTCGAATCCATCCGAGTGATACCCCTTTTTCAAGCTGTCGCTTACTTATAACAAAAATTATAAAATTATTATCTGATCTTAAGGTCAAAATCTTACATTGCAGCGGAAACATCTTAACTTTAACACCTTCAGTCCCTTCTTATAAATACAAATCTGTACTGTATTATAAAGTATTTGACAAAAACTCTTAAAAATCGTTTTTTATGCATAAAGTACTGTTTATTGATGTATATTACTTAAAATTCAAGATCAAACGTAAATTGTGCAGAAGTACAACTTACTAATGATTCATTTTGAATGTGTAACTAACTATAGATAAACACAATCAAATACTGGATAGACATCTCATTTTAAATATAAAAAATTTAAAATATAATTAGGATAATCATTACTTAATTATTATTTTTATAAAAATTATATTATTAAACATAAATAAATTACTTTATTATTAAATTATAAATAAAATATTAATTAAAGAAATTACACAAAAAAATCAGAACTTTAAATAGTAAATTTGATACTAATATCGACAGTGAGGCAAAACGCTTCGTGACCTCATGAGTTTTCAAAATGCTTAACATCATCATAAAACATAGCATGTGAAATCATAAACGTCATGTAAAAACTTTGAAATCTTCTTGTTGTACATCTCCCTCTGTGTTGTGTGCATCACATGGACCTGTCTTTTTATGGTGATAAATCACTCCCATGTTATAAAAAAGCATTAGCATTCCGTCCCAAAATAAGTGCACAGTTTTGAACATTCGTAATTATTATTTATTTTAATTAACCAAATGACAGTTTCACCCTTATTTTTATTTCTTTCTTTTCACAACTCTTAAATATTTATGCATTAGTTAAGGGTATATTTGAGAATTTACTTATCTATGTTTGAAACTAGACACTTATTTTGGAACACTCATGAATAGAACTAGAAACGTACTCGCGCAATGCATCGAGATACATCGTGATTTTAATATTTCATTTTATTCTTTATCTCAGTCGATGTTATAATATGACTTTATGTGATATTGAGAAAACGATGATGTTTTTATTTTTGAATAAAATATATGTTTGAAGATATCATAAAAATTTGACAAAAATATATCGATATTAGTATCAAATTAACTATTTGA